GAGAGAGTCACATTGCTCCCTGTTCTAACCTCACTTGGGAGTCCATGATGGCAGTATCCCAGCAGTGATCACTTTTGGATAAACCAGTACGATTGTTGTGTATTAAAAATAAGCTTCTCGGGGCACCTGGGTGGCTCAGTCATTAGGCATCTGCCTTCGGCTCAGGTCATGATCCCAGAGTCCTGGGACTGAGCCCCGCATCGGGCTCCCTGCTCAGTGGGAAACCTGCTTCTCCCTCTCCCACTCCCCCTACTTGTGTTCCCTCTCTCGCTGTGTCTCTCTCTGTCAAATAAATAAAATCTTTAAAAAAAAAAAAAAAAGCTTATCATTCTACTGGCACTTTGTCTGCCCAGTGGAATTCAGTCTCTGTAATGCACTGCCCTGAGTCTGGCTATTCTCCCCTTGGTATAAGCCAAATAATAGCCAAAGCAGAATCCCAGCCTGTTGCCCATAAGAGCTGTTACCCTCAAGGAAATGGGGGCAAGGCCTTGAGCAGGGAGGGTGCTTGGAGGGTTTGCATTGAAAGTAATATTCTCATCTTCAGGACCAACAATTCTGGCTTTCAAAATAAGGAAAAAGTGGTAATATGGCTCAAGTCAAAATGAAAACCCTCTTCCTTTCTGTGACCGCTCTAGTTGGGGAGTTAGTTTTCTGTTGCTTCAACAAGTGGTCTGGAGGACACTCCTGTGATGGTTAGGGCCATTGACAGCACTTGATTAAAACTTGACAGCTTTTCTCCCTATCTCCTCCCTCCCCCCTCCCCACTGAGACTCTGTTTAGAGGAGCATTTGTGAGACAAACTGGGCTTACAAACATTGAAACAGCTGCTCTCCCAGCCCCTTGACTCCTGTACTGCTGCAGTCACGGTGCTGGAACTCTCTGCCGAGGAGGGTGGAGTGTCTGGATCTCTGCTGTTCCCTGTTAACATAAAGGCAGTTCTTTACAGGTTTTGACCCTGCCTGCATTCTCCCTCCCTTACAACATGCACATTCATCTCTTTTCGTGGTATTACTGCTGCCAGAATGCAAACTTCATCTCTCTGTCATCTGAGCATCATTCAAAAGCATTCCGCCCATTTGTGAATTATTCCCTGACTCTTGATAGGGCAGTGTTACAGGTCCTCTGCCGGCAGAAGGGAGTTCGACAAGACCTGAAGACCCAAGACCTTCAGAAGCTGTGACGAGCAGACTAGGAAGCCACAAGACATTGTGAGCTAAGTGGATGTCTTAATAAGCTTTTAGATGTGATTTGGCCAGAGTTGGCAGAGGAAGCTCAAGGGAAAAAGGCGAGTAAATTGTTGCAGACCCACTGGGCGTGACAACCCTAGGAAGCTAATGATCTCTCCGGGAAGGAATTGACAGCAATTATCCAGCAACAGAACACCATGTAGAATGGGGAGGACAGACTCCCAGATGTGAGTACAACCTCTCTTCACTACAGGGTTTTGAGCAGTAGGAGCAAAGCGAGTTATTGTAATTGATGGTGCTCCCTAACCACTGGTTCTGGGTGCCTGTGGACTGTCTCTGGTTGGGCTGTGCATAAGGTCCTGGCTGGGACTTTTGTTTGCCAGGTCTCTTCTAGAATATTTTGTCTGTCAGGAAACTGAATGTAGTGGTTTGGGGATATTGGTACCAGGAGACTTTGTTGTAAATCCTCAGGAAAACAGCAAGAGCAAACCTCATAGACCTTTTGCTCTAAAAAGAAAACAGATTGCATCACAGACCAAGCAGCTGTGTGGCCCTCTGGCATTCGTGATGAGAGAAAAAAAGCATTGGCAAATTGGAATGCAGTGAAAATGGGGCAGTGGGCTAGGAGAAAGGAGGGAAATCTTTCTTAGGAAGCTAAATACTTTCTGGATTCAGGAAGCTCATTGAATATTTATGATCATGGATTTATTTCATTTCTGCTTAAAGAACTGGCAGCATGTTTGCATTTAATGTTTTTCTCTGGAGCCCTGTGAAAGTGAGCATTGTGACAAAGAGGGATGTGATTGATAGATGTGGGGCAGAAGAAATTCCTCACCGCCAGCCGTGGGAAGTGTCTTGAATGATAGCTGATCTATTTGGAAGAGGAGGCTCAGATTTAATGAGGGAATGGGGCTGCTACAGCCTGGGGACCCAATAGGTTGGCAGTGGAATTTAACTCGTTGATTGCAAACTGGCTGCCACCTCTTTATTCCTCTCCCTCCCCCACTTCTTGTTGGGGGTCCTCTATCCCCCTTATTTCTCTCCCTCAGCCCGCCTCCACCTGGCCCAATTTGTTAGTTCAGAGGTGTCAGACAAGAAGCTGAGTATCCCCTTATTCAAAAAGGATGGAGGTGTAGAAAGGAAGCCAAAAGGAAGACTCAGCCACTTTGATCTCTTCCCACCACCCTGTGTGTAAATGCAACTGTAGGTGAATGCTGGAGGTCCTACCAGCGAGCCTATTACTGGATTTAAATTGAGAATGAACTTGAGATGCCCAAGCACAAAGGGATAATGCTAGCTGCAGACTGGTAACTGGAACCCTAGGATTCTGCTCCTGATTTTGCAAGCAGTTTTCTGTGCAACTCTAGTTGGGGGAAATATCCAAAATCCTATAAGCAACATGTCCTGGAGCTGCCCTGTTCCTCTGGCAGGCTGTGCATTGGCCATGGTGGAGGCGGTCGGGTGGAGTGGGGTGGGGACTGGGGAGCATTTCATTCTTAAGTAGCTGTAACTGAAAAGCAAAAAAAAATTAAAAATAATTTTTAAAAATTCTGTTTGGCCAATATTTCTCAACTGTAGTGTTTTTCTATCTTAAAAAAAAAAAGGAATAGTAATGTGTGCTGGATTTGCAAAGGGCTGTTTACCAAAGGTAATTATGTAAACAAGGCTATCTCAGAAGCCTGCAACCATGGCAATAAGTGTCTAAGAGCTGGGTTTATTGTCTGGGACAGGAGGGGAGTGGCTGTCCATGTACTGTGGGCCTGCTGACCCGCGCATCTGTTGCTGGGGAGACTGGACAGCACTGCTGGTCTGCAGCTCGTGACCTCGGCTGATGGGCTGCACTGAGTTTGCAGCAAGGACATCTCTATGTCTATCCCCAGGAGCTAAGCTCTGAAGTAAAATGAGTGAAATTTTAGTCATGATAACAGTATTTGTATGAACTGGGCCATTGTAGTTGAGACATTCAGATGCCCATTACAAGAAAAGTTTGGGTACAGGAAGGTGGCCGTTGAGTGCACAAAGATAACAAATGAGTAAATGGAAGAATGTGGTTGTAGAGAGAGAGCATTTAGGAAGCCGCAGCTAATATTGTATTTTCCTGACTTTTGCGCCTGGAATGCTTTTGCAGTATTGGGGCAAACAGAACAGAAGCTCAGTATTACTGGCTTGAAGTTACCACAGATTATCTGAATAGAGAGACAGTGTATCCAATGTTTACAAAAACAAACCACTCTAAACAGTGGAACGGTCTGGGAAACATAAAGCCCGAACTAGTCTCTCAGTGGGATCCTGGGAATCTCCAATGGCATTTCCAGCTCTGTTTCTCTGCTTTGAGTCTCAGCGTTACCCTTTCATTGGCTCATTCATTCAACCAAGATTTCCGGTGCATCCCAGGGACCTCTGACCATGGCTAACAGAGGAGTCCTCTGCTTTGGAGCATCCCTTCTCCAGATTTGTTGCACTTCCAGTGAGCAGAGCAGGGTGGATTGGTATGGTTTTGTTTTTTTTTTAAAGATTTTATTTATTTATCTGACAGAGAGAGACCGCGAGAGAGGGAACACAAGCAGGGGGAGTGGGAGAGGGAGAAGCAGGCTTCCCGCCGAGCAGGGAGCCTGATGCGGGGCTTGATCCCAGGACCTTGGGATCATGACCTGAGCCGAAGGCTGGCGCTTAACGACTGAGCCACCCAGGTGCTCCCCCCTTTTTTTTAAAGATTTATTTATTTGAGGGGTGAGGGGCAGAGAGAGAGAAGGGAGAGAGAACCTCAAGCAGACTCCCTGCTGTGTGCAGAGCCCAATCGATCCCAGGACCCTGAGATCATGACCTGAGCTGAAATCAAGAGTCGGATGTTTAACCGACTGGGCCACCCAGGCGCCCCGAATCCTTTACTTTTGACATAATTACCAGTGGCTTTGGTTTGCTGTAAAGGTGGCCCAGGGCTACTGATAGGAGTCAGCCTTTAAAATTCTATCCATTTGCCATTGTTGGAAAGAAGAGGTTAAGTTTACTGCTAGTTACTCCCTCCAGACCACTGCTCTGAGTGGGGCTTTGCATCCTAGAGGTGGTTTTAGTAGGCCTTTTATTTCCTGTTAGGCATGGAAGCAACAGAAGCAGCCCCTCTGCATGCAGTTGGCAGCGCGCACTGTCAGTGGTTCTAGCATCCTTGCTGTTCCCAAAGTGGGTTGTTCCGACAATAATTGGAACTGGGAGATGGCCCGGGCCTGTGCCCAGCTCTCCATCTGTCCCAGAACTCAGGAAACTGCGCTGTTTACAGTGAGGCAAGGATGAAGCAAAGCAACTGCAATAAGTGCTGGGACAAAAATCCCAAGGATTTAACCCACTCCTCAGGGTGTCCGTGGGGTGTGATCCACAGGCACCTTCACCTGCCAGCAGAAGCAGCATGTTAGCTGTGGCAGACCCACAAAACATGGTCCAGAGGCCCTTTGAGATCATACGTGGTATAGTTACCTACCAAAGACAGGCCTGGAACCCCTGTGATGTGGATGGGATTATAGCAGGTCTCTGCTACCTAGGATGGAAGTACAGAGCAGACCTCATGGTTTTGGTTATAATCCTCTGGAGAATGTCCCTGAAGCGGGAAGAAGGGAGGGAGATTGGCACATGCTGCAGCCTTCTGTTTCCCAGTTCAGGGGCTTTGGTGTGCAGAGTGTGCTTTGTGCTTGTCCTGTCTTTACCCAGCTTCTGTCCCCTGCCATTGAGCCCTCAGCAGATGCCCTGAGATCAGAGAGAAGAGGTGTGGCCCATCCTGTGTGCTGAGTGGTGCTGATGGCAACTTTGTTTTGTAATCCCTAGGTCCTGAAGATGGCATAGTAATAATAGAGGCACCTTCTAAGGATCGGGAGCATCTTGACCCGTAGGTCCCTGCCCGGGCCAGTGGCGCCGTGTTGAGCTGAAGGAACTTGTCTACTGCGTTCCTGAAAACCTCTTTCCCTCCTAATTCATGAGCCAGCAGGATGCGGTTGCTGCACTTTCAGAACGCCTTCTCATAGCTGCGTACAAAGGCCAAGCAGAGAATGTGGTTCAGCTCATCAACAAGGGCGCCAAGGTAGCAGTTACCAAGGTAACAAGAAGGGGGAAAAAAAACGCTTTAGCCATTCCCTGGGAAAAAGCTTACCTCCTAATAACCATTGTCTGTACAACTGTTGTGTTTGGTTTGAAGCTTTCATAGAACTGGCTTCTTTTTTTCCAGTGATGACAGTTTGGAGAGAAGGAAGGGGGATTAAAATGCTTTCAGTGCTATCTTTCAAATGGAGTGACTTGTAATTAGCATTTGACAGTCTTTAAAATCACAGTGTGGCTTTTTCTCACCTACTTCTTTAGCTAAATGGGTAAGAGATCTCTCTGGAGAAGTTGGGGTACAAAAACTTATTGGGAAGAATGTTTGTACAATAATCACATTAGACCAGCTTGTGGACAGGGCAGCCCATCCACTGTGCAGAGCCTCACTGGTCCCGTCTGTACAGTGACAGGCTTGGACCAGATGACGGCCACCATCTCTTTGGGCTTTCATTTCATATGGGTCAGTAAAAGTTATGGTAAGCTTTGGAGGACATTGCTTATCCCCCACCAACAGATAATACCATGGGAGATGAGAGAACATACTGGCCAATGGGCAGTTTTGTAGCAAAACGGAGGAAAGTCAGGCTGCAGAGTTAGGTGACAAGTTAAAATACAAACGGGATAATGCTGATGGAAAATACTTATTGAGCACTTAGTATTGCTCTAAGGACTTTACAGTCCTCTAGACGAGGTTCTTTTTTTCATCCCCACTGTAGAGATGAGGAAACTGAGGCACAGAATGATATAAGTAACTTGCTCAGGGTCCTTCAGCTGTTGAGTGGCAGAATTGCTACTTGTACCTACAGAGTCTGACTCCAAAGCCCACCCTCCAGGCCACCCCAGATAGAGCTGTGGTAAGAAGCAAAGTTTAGTTTTCAAATGGTAATGTCTGACCACCAGTGGCAAAGATTGGCCACATTTTCAGTTACTCATATGCAGTCTCTATATTTCGTGATTCTGAAGTGTGCTTTTTTGGCATCACCAAGCAAGCAGTTTAATAGTTTAAGGTCTCAGTCCCACAAGAGTGCCTCCCCCCCACTGCCGCCCCCACACAGGTACAGTTGCCAAGCACAGGTTATGACCTGTGCTTCGAACCAACTGGTTATAAATCAAAGGTTCCCACAACTCCCTCCTTGTGTTCGATTAATTTGCTAGAGGCAGTCACAGAACTCAGGAAGACATTTTGCTTACTAGATTACCAGTTCATTATGAAAGGATATGATATAACTGAGGATCAGCCAGATAGAAGAGAGACATTAGGGGAAGATATGAAGAAAGGGGCACAGGGCTTCCATGCTCTCTGAGTGCACCACCCTCCCAGCACCTCCACGTCTTCACCAACCCAGAAGTTTTCTGAATTCTCTTGGTTTTTATGGAGGCTTCATTGATAATTACTGATTGACATTCAACCTCCAGTCTCACCCCCCTCCCTGGAGGCCATGGGATAGGACAGAAAGTTTAACCCTCTAATCAAGGTTGGTTCCCCTGGCAACCAGCCCCCATCCTTAGGGGCTTTCCAAAAGTTACCTCATTAATAAAAACTCAGGTGTGGTTGGAAGGGACTTACTATGAAGAAAACACTTCTTTCACTTTTTTGGATCTGGAGCTATTTCAGGAACTGAGGACAAAAGACCAACTACTGTAACAAAAGATGCTCCCATTGCTCTTATCACTTAGGAAATTCCAAGGATTTGAGGAGCCATGAGCCAGGAACGGGGACTAAAACTAAATATATATTTATTATAAAGACATTCCAGGCTCATGGATTAGAAGAAAAAATATTGTTAAAATGTCTATAGTATCCAAAGCAATGTACACATTCAATACAATCTTTATTCACCAGCATTTTTCATAGAACTCTGGCAATCCTAAAATTTGTATGGAACCACAAAAGATCCCAAATAGCTAAAGCAATCTTGAAAAAGTAAAACAAAGCTGGAGGCAATCAGAATTCTGGGCTTCAAGTTATATTACAAAGCTGCAGTAATCAAAAAAGTACGGTACTGGCACAAAAATAGACACATGGGGTGCCTCGGTGGCTTAGTCAGTTAAGCATCAGACTCTTGGTTTTAGCTCAGGTAATGATCTCAGGGTCATGAGATCGAGCCCTGCCTCAGGCTCCATGCTCAGCAGGGAGTCTACTTGAGATTTGCTCTCTTCCTCGCCCTCTGCTTCTCCCCATCCCCCCCCCCCAAATAAATAAATAAGTCTTTAAGAAAATGGACATATAGATCAATGGACCAGAAAAGAAATCCAGAAATAAATCCACAATTAAATGGTCAATTAATCTTCGACAAAGGAGGCAAGAATGTACAACGGGAAAAAAACTCTTCAACAAATGGTGCTGGGAAAACTGGACAGCAACATGCAAAAGAGTGAAACTGGGCCACTTTCTTACACCATACACAAAAATAAATTCAAAATGGATTAAAGACCTAAATGTGAGACCTGAAACCATAAAAATCCTAAAAGAGCACAGGCAGTAACTTCTTTGACATTAGGCTTAGCAACTTCTTTCTAGATATGTCTCCTGAGGCAAGGAAAACAAAAACAAAAATAAACTATTGGGACTACATCAAAATAAAAAAGCTTCTGCACAGCAAAGGAAACAATCAACAGAACTAAAAGACAACCAACTGAATGGGAGAAGATATTTGCAAATGACATATTCAATAAAGGGTTAGTATCCAAATATATAAAGAACTTATAAAACTCAACACCCCAAAAACAAATAATCCAATTTAAAAATGGTCAGAAAACTTGAATAGATACTTCTCTGAAAAAGACATGCAGTTGGCCAACAAACACATGAAAAGATGCTCATCATCACTTATCATCAGGGAAATGCAAATCAAAACCACAATGTGATAGCACCTCACACCTGTCAGAATGGCTAAAATCAACAACACAAGAAACAATAAGTGTTGGTGAGGTTGTGGAGAAAAAGAACCCTCTTGCACTGTTGGTGGGAATGCAAACTGGTGCAGCCACTGTGGAAGACAGAATGGGGATTCCTCGAAAAGTTAAAGATAGAACTACCTTATTATCCAGCAATTGCACTATTGGGTATTTACCCAAAGAATACAAAAAACACTAATTCAAAGTGTTTCATGTACCCCTAATGTTTATAGCAGCATTATTTATAGTAGCAAGGTATGGAAGCAGCCCAAGTGTCCATGGGTAGATGAATAGATAAAGAAGATGTACACACATATATATAACAGAATATTATTCGGCCATATAACAGAAGATTATATATATATGTGTGTGGATGGGTAGATAGATAGATAGATAGATTACCAGGGGTGGGTGAGTGGGGGAAAGGGTAAAATAGGTGATGGGAATTAAGGAGTGCACTTGTTGGGTGAGGTATGGAAATGCTGAATCACTATATCACACACCTGAAACTAATATGACACTGCATGTTAACTAATAATTAAAATAAAAACTTAAAAAAACAGTAGGTTTTACTTTAATTTTTATGTTGTACCTACACATAGATTAAAGTGTCAAATATTTTTACTATGTTTCTCTTCCATTTCTGAGCCTTCATAACCAACTACATTCAAGTCTTTTGGGTATTTTAGTGTTTACATTCATAAATGATATGCTGATATTGCTCAATCTCGATTTTTCCATTTTAGGCATTATCTGTTGATGTAACAATATGAAAACGGATGATCTAAGATTTAACTTTCTTTTCCCTGCTCTCACATGTGCATGTCTACCTTCTCCAATACAGTTGTGTCATTACTTAGGTGACATCAGCATTCAGTCTTTACATTAAGTTAACCAGTTTATTTATTTACTTATTTTAAAGATTTATTATTTATTTGAGAGAGAGGGAGAGAGAGAGAGCAGGGTGAGGGCCAGAGGAAGAGAGAGAGGGGGAGAGAATTTCAAGCAGACTCCCTGGTGAGCACAGAGCCTGAGGTGGCCCTGAGATCATGACCTGAGCTGAAATCAAGAATCAGACGTTCATGGGGCACCTGGGTGGCTCAGTCGGTTAAGTGTCTGCCTTCGGCTTGGGTCATGATCCCAGGGTCCTGCTCTGCAAGGAGCCTGCTTCTCCCTCTTCCTCTGCCTGCTGCTCCCCCTGCTTGTGCTCTCTCTCTCTCTGTCAAATAAATAAATAAAATCTTAAAAAAAAAAAAAAAAGAATCAGACGTTCAACTGACTAAGCCACCCAGGTGCCCCTTAACTAGTTTATTTATAGCTGAACCATGTAGAGTGTACTATCATTATGTTTCCTTTTTTTTCCCTTTGTAATAATTCCTTTACTCTGATGTTAATAATTGTCCTATATTTGTTTCCTTAGTTTTGTATGTGCATATCACAAATTACGCTAAAACTCAGTTGCTGATCTGCTCTCTAGATGTTCAAATGTGTTAGGTAGTCTTTCCACTGAGTCTCTTTGAAGAGACGTTCTCTGGAGCCCCCTCCCCTATTTCAGTCCAGACTGGTGGCCCTTAAGGCCTTCTGACAAATGTCACTCTTCACTATTATCCTAGGGATTTTGCTTACCACTTTCATATATGTTGATCTCCTAGTGTCTTTTTCTTTCTTGGTTTACTCCCTTGGTTTGATGTGATATACCCTCTAGTACAGCACTGTTTAACAGAACTTTCTGTGATGGTGAAATGTTCTATATCTATGCTGTCTAATAGGGTAACAACACATGGTTATTGAGTGCCTAGAATGTTGCTAGTGTGGCTGAATTTCAAATTTAATTTTAATTAACTAAAGTTAAAATGCCACATGTGGCTGTTGGCTACTGTATTGAATAGCACAGCTGTGATATCTTCCTGAGAATGAGTGGATGGGAGAGATTGATCAACTTTAGACATAATCTATTGCCCCTTTCTCTTCCATACTCTCTCAATCTAGTTATATCACAATCTTAAGCAGATTCATAATTACTGTGATTATGTAATTGCTGTTCATTGGTGAGCCAAGAGTTGTACTATAATTAATTACATTTCCATTTTTATATAACTTGCT